TTATATCCGATATTTGGACATAAATATTTCTATTCTTTTCTTTCTCTTTCTTTCTTCTCTCTTTCTTTCTACTTTTGTGTGTTTTTTCCTTCTGGCCGAATGGCCTTTTTATAGGGAAATTTTGATCAAGTGGTAGAATCTTTTACGCGTATTAGCTGAGCAATTTGACAATAAAGTAGGCATTTGGGACAACTGGCCATTAACTAAAGGCATCTTTACGTTGAAAATTGCATGTGATGAGGAAAAGAACAATACATGTGAGGAGGAAAAGAACAATGAAGTGGGCCCAAGCTCACATGTTTTACACTCATTCTAATAGTTATTTGAATTTCACTCGAGCAACTGCAACCATGTACGGTGAGCACAATCTACAATGGATCACTGTAAAACATGTCATTCAAAATCGAATACGAGATGAAATAAATCCAAAAATGGATTTTTGTTCAAGAATGAAATCTTATTGGAACTGTCCATATCCGGTTCATCCTTCAGAACCCTATCACACCCCCGAACTCCCGTACCTCAAGCGCTATCCTCTATCTTGTCTGGAATGGACCACTCGTCGCATGGCTATAGTATAGTATCTATAACCAACCCATTCTCAGCGACGCGTAGCATGCTGGGAGATGGGGAACATCTTTATCTTTCGCAATTTTCAGTCGTTTTTCAAAGGCAACATAGAACTCATTCTGTACATAGAACACATTGGACAGTAGTTCCCAATGCCATTGTTGAAATTCTAGTAACCCCACAGAACACAAGAGATAATTAATCGATCAAAATTGACGAATCAAATACAGCTCCTCGCTTATTTAAAATTGTGATGGCAAATGATCAGAATATATCAGTAAATACTTTGATTCTATTTGCATCCTCATATTGTGGTCTGGATAACCGAGGCATACAGTATAGTCGAATCAGACGAATAAAGAGTGCACAAAAACAAAGGAAAACCTGTATATGAAATTCAGGGACTGAAATGAAAACAATATGTTCATCATTGGTCACGTAAACAAAATGAGGCAATCGGAATAGCCAACCCCATCGAACCCAGAATTTGAAATGAAAACAATATCTCACATGCCTCGACTGGAGGATACTCGTTCTGTGACACTTTCCACTTTCAAGTAAACTAAATTTTGCAAGTTATTCCCATTACGACGTTTCCAACTAGCGAATATTTTCTTCTAAAGGAAAAGAATTCTCTAAACATGCTCCACATCTTCATCCACAAATTTTATTTTCTTAATTAACTACAAAAACCATGTGTGCCCATATCCATTTTTTTCTTTCTTTTTTATTTGGCTATATATACCCCTTCATGGATTGAAAAAAAAAAAATCTCAAATCAACAATAATCTCAGGCACATAAATCTTCCCAAGTCAATGGTGATACATATGAAAAGCGTCGATTTTTCACCGATATGTTATTGATGATTTTTCACACTCTTATTATTCCTGATTCAATTTGTGATTAGTTCTGCCAAAAACAAGTGGTATAGATGAAAAGCGTGGAGTTCATGCGTTTTACCTCTCGCTTTTCTCGTTCATTTCAAGTTCATTCTGGTTGGCCTACGGCCTTCTAAGTCACGACCTTTTTGTCACGGTTAGTTTGATCACCAAACTTTCTTCTTACTCAAGAAATACGCCGTGTGCTCCCTCCTGTTGACAATGTATATCGTTATGAACTCAAAAGAGTAAACAAAAAAGTACGATTTTTTTTTTTTGCAAATTAGTTTACATACACTCACGATAATCGGGTTCTTTTTTGTTTTTCTTTTCCTTTCCTTTGTTCGGAACAGTCACCGAGCCTGGTTGGTACCCCCTCTGGGCCTCGTCCAGCTTCTGGTGTACCTGCAAGTACAGGAAATGTAAAACTACAGAACAAGCTCAAAAATGGGATCTTGAAAATAACTTCAAGAAAGGGAGCAACCGAGCGAAGATAACCCATTTGATGGTTCAAAACCGTACAAAGAGAGAGAGAAAAA